GACTTTTCTGGGAGTTTAAGGCCTCTAAGCTCTGTGACCTAAGATGCCCTGTGGGTGATGCTCAGGTGACTGCATTGTTACAGTATGGCACATGTTCTCTTATCTTGCTGTTTGGAGATCTGGCTGCCCAGGCCATGGCCTGCTCCATGGGTAGTTAAGTAGGTTCAGTATTGTTTACCCTTTTGCTATTAACTTCTCCCCGACCTGTGCCATGATAAAGGTGGTAAGTCTGTCCATGTACTTATTCTATGGAAGAGGGGCTCATTTTCTATTTGGAGATTGCCTGACACCCCTGGCTTTCCCGATTTCTCTCTAGAGATAACTGGAGACAGGAGCAGCCTGCCTAAGGTAAATTGACATTAATTAATATAGCTACCGATTTGCAAGCAGCCAAAGACTTCTCTTGCTTTATTCACAGGCTCCTCTGTTATTCTACCCCAGTGTGGGTGAGACACAACTCTCTTCCTGAAGTTCACGAAGATAGAAGACAGACACAGTCACCAAATGAACTTGGATGTGATTGTTGTAATCTTTTTCCCTCTGTAGAACTGCCACTCCTGGCCAGAAATGGTACCCAAACTATTTAATTGCCTCTGGAGCTACAGCATGAAGCTAACAAGCTGCTCATTAATGCACCCATGGCTCTCTCCCTCCTTCCTGTGGCTTCTGTTCCTGGTTTAGAAGCAGAATTAACAAGTTTTTCTCCTAAGAAGCATATCTGTCCTACAACAGTCAGCTCTTTCAACATGTAGCTTCATCCTCCCATCATTACAGAGAACAGCTAACGGCTCTGCGCCCAGGCCTGACCCCTGCAGATCCCATTTGCAGTGACTGTCAAAGGCAGATGGATCGCCACCAGTAAGTCCTTTTTGTATTCGGCTTCCAAATATGGGAGCGGCTGGATAACTGTGGGTCATTAGACATTCCCAAATTAAATTGCTGCAAAGATCCATTTCACCCATGCAGTGGAGGAACACTGTGTGCCCTGATGGGTATTCTGAGCTCAGAGGGCAGAATCCATGCTCACGTGGGATATTTGTTGAGGACAGATGAGGAGACTGCCAGCAACTGGTTTCTTTTTCATCGTATTCATCATGTCCAGTGAGCATCAAAAACGATGCTCATATCTGCTGCACATTCCAGTGCAATTTACCAACCTGTTTTCAGTGAAATCAGCTGCACTGGTAATCTCCAGTTCCTGAATTAGTTTATGCTAAGGAGGCTGTCTGTGTCTCTTTGCTTTAGAACAGGGGTCCATATTTCATCATACCTCAGGATCTAGACAGTCAGTGTAGAACTATGCCTTTGCTGGCTGCAAAAGATTAGGGAACTAAAAGATTATAATGAACTGGAGCTTTCGGCCTGACCTAGAAGAAAGCAAATGTAATCGGGAAAACATATATATACTGTATTGGCCAAAGGAAAACATGTCATCTTAGGTTTTACTGAAGAGCAACCAGTCTGTGAGCTTCCCTTTAAATCAGTTCATTACATGTCTTTCCTAGAGACCGAATCGTAGAGGTTCAGGTGTGGGGTGTGGAGCCGGGCGGAGCGGCAATTACTTTTTGAAGTCCCTTGTGGTTCTGATACCCTGCCGGCCCCTTTGGTTAAAAATAATCAAGTTTAACATTAAACAGTTCTCGCATAAAATCTATTGGCATCAAGGCATGCTTGTTCCCACTTGAACTCGTGACGTGCTTCCCCACGTGGCGTGTGTATCTGCTCCTAGCTGCAGACCCAGATCACATTAATAGAAATTCAGTGTGATCTGAAAAGGAATCAGGCGGCTCCGGTTTTGCTGTTGACTGGGGACAAAGACTGCCTACCTGCTGAATTTCAAGTACTTCCAGCTACTCTCTGTGGCCTATTTTGATCACGCTGCTTTTCCTTGGGTTGGGGGTAGGAGGGAACGGTGTGAAAGCAGCCGCCCTTATTGCCACAGTACTCGGGCTTGCCTGTCACAGGCCTTCATTCTGGGAGTAAGAATGGGCAGGCTATCTTTAATTTGCTAATTTTACCTGAAAGCTGTCAACAGAAGTTGAAGAATGATTTGATTCTTTTCAGTTCACTTTCCTTTTTTTTAACTGGTTAAATGCTAAATTATTGTGGGTACGGTGAATGTTTGGGTTGTGATAAGTGAAAACAAGAGAGCTATTACAAAACTGGAATGGTAATGCATGGGGACAGATGAACTTCTATCACTTGTTCCATATGACAAAGAATGAGATCAAAGACTGAAGGCTACATCCCCCTCAGCTTGTCCTGATGCCTGTGTTCAGAGTCCACTGCGCTCCACAGTTCACCGGTGTCACAGAGTGAGAGCTCTGCATCCCATCACTTTGGAGACGGAGTTTCAGCTACTCCTTGGGGCCCCACGGGGAGTGTTTTTCATGCCCTTTTAGGTGGACCAATTCTTCTACATGAGCACTTCTCTGCAAATATCCCATCACCTCCTGACTCCAGAATCCTCATTCTCTAGCTGACATCAAGGCTCACGATTTTCTCTATCATTTAATTTCTAAAAATATGGAATTTATCTGGCTGTCTTCAGCATTAATGGTGATACTTGTTTTGAGAGAGGGATGTGAATGTAAAGTGGCCCCTAAACGCCAGAGAAGCTGAGAGATTGATGGGTGAGGTAGGCAAGTCCAGTTTGTCAGTCAGTGAGTGACAGGAGACAGTGAGGCACACACAGTCTTGGGCCTGGGACCATGTCCTCCCCCAGACACACGGTTTTGTGGCCGAAGTCACGGGCCTCTGCACCTTGAGAGGAATGTGGCCAATAGTTTGCCTTTCAATTAAAAATATCTTCCTTCCCTTTTTAAAAAAAATAGAGCAGTCCAGGTTTGAAGTTTGGTTGAGTAAGGTTGGGATTAATGAACAAAGCTTCCATAAGGTGTGAAAGGTGACTGTGATAAAAACACTCAGATTAAAAGGAGTCTGAGCCCAAGTTCAAATCTAGAGAAAATACAACTAAAGATATACTTTTAGTGTCTTTTGTCCCAAGTGTTCAATGGTCAGCTGACTGGTGACAGCAAGTCATCCCCCAATATTCTATATCTTTTATCTCCAGAATTATGGGATTTTTGAATTTTAACCAGGCCCATGGTCTCTAAGAAAAAGAAGAAATATTTCAGGCCTCTTTTGCAGCTTAGTTATGGCCATGTGACTGAATTCTGGACAGCAAGGTATCAGAAGATATAAAGAGGAACAATTTCTTGGAAATGTCCTTGAGGAGGTATGTACCTTTCCCCTTTGATTTTCCCACTGGTTGAAATTCAAGTGGTAATGGCAAGAGCTAAAGCAGCCACATTGGGCTGTGAAATTTAGGAAGGAGTACCGTGCATAATGGAGCAAAAAGAGTGGTGTTCATACTGCCCCTACCATAATGGAGGACCATGCCAGAGAATGCCTGGTTCCCCTATCTAGACAATTACCTAAAAAAGAAGCAAGCTTCTGTCCTGTTTATATGACCTGTTGAGGTGAGTTAAGAGCAGGGGAGGCAGGTTTTACCACTCACAGCCAAACCCTATTCCAAACTACTACAGGAAGTCTCAGCTGGATGCACAAAAGCAGGGCCTGGACATTCCTCACACTGTCCCTTTGAGGCACGGGTTCACACAGAATCACTATGTCGGTTGTGGGAAACACCTTCAGGAAGGCTGATCAAGTGCTTCATTCCGTCTTCCTTCTACTGGAGCCCCTGCCCCTTCTTTCCCGCCTAGGTCTCCAGCAGGTGCGGTTCTCACCTTTCATTACTCTCACCTCACAGCACTTAACTACGTTCTGCCTTTTACTCTTGTGTTTCTGTTTGCTGTCTCAGTAGACTGTGAGAACTTGGGGACAGAAAATGTCTCTTTTGTGACCCTCTCCCACTTAGAGAAAAACAAAGCATTACTTAAGTTTCCAGTTGGAGAAAGACAAGTACCTTACTATTTTACCCGTTTGTATAATCTAATGAACAAAAATGAGCTAACAAGCAAAATAGAGACAGACTTATAAATGGAGGGCAGGCTGACAGCCATGAGGGAGGAGTGATGGGAAGGGGGGAGGGGGGAGGGAAGGATTCAGCAAAAAAGAAAGGAGAGAAAGAACTCATGGACATGGTCAACAGTGTGGTGGTTGCCGGGGGAGGGGGATGGAGAAGGTGGAGGAGAGTACGGCGGCATAATTGGTGATGGATGGAGACTTGACTTGGGGTGGCGGACACACAGTGCAGTGTACAGATGATGTGTTGTGGAACTGTGCACCTGAAACCTGTAGAGTTTCGTTCACCAGTCTCACTCCAACAAATCCAATAAACAGAAAAATACATTAAAAATAAATAAATACACAAATTTCAGAATACTCTGTGAACAATTAATTTGGAGTTGGAGTGTATCTTTGAATCCCACTCACTACACCATTTCCTGTGCTTTGTCACTCTCGTCCTCAGACAACGGTGTGTTCTCCAGACGACCTTCACAGGGGAGTGAATTATAACACTTTCTAAAATAGTGATTCTTAACTTGAGAGGAAGAAACAGGGAACTTGAGGAGTCCATCACCTCTGCAAAGTTTTGTATGTAGGAATATGAGTTTTTGTCTAGAGGAAGGTCCACAGCTTTCATCAGAATTTCCAAAAAAATCATGACCCCTACTGGCCTACAGCAAAACAAACCAAACCAAACCAAAACAAAACAAAACAACACAAATCTTTAGTTAAAGGATACTTAAAGTGTGCTGTTGGGTGGGGATCAGAGAAAGAACCAAGCATGCTTAGACAATTCCATTGGTAACGAAGATCAGTCCACATACAGATCTGTGCGTTTCCTGTATCTACATCCTTCAGTGTGCAGGAAGACACTCCAACCAACCAAGCCACCCAGTCAGGGCTCTGTATCTACATTTTTTTAAGGTTCAGCTTTCTTTCCATGGTTTTAAGGAGTGACCTTCATCCTTAACCGCAACTGCAGAAGCAACCAACAGAAAAGGTCAACGTACACCAGGAATCAACTGAAGCAATGCTTTATTGCAACCACAAAGCACCAACCCAACAAGGCATCGACACACGGAGGTTGAACAAATGTCTCTTTGAACAGAGATGTAGCAAGCCCACTTCTTCAAGTTTTTAAAAACAAGTGCTCAAACCAGGAATCAAACAAAGCATCAGAGCAATTAAAAAAATATTACACCATCATGAAGGAATATATATAAAAATATTCTGTGCTAGCAACAAGGCTTTTTGATCTGTAACTCTTGGCAAATTTCTTCAGAAACAAATTATTATAAATACAACCATAAAGTGAAAAAATGCTTTCTCCAGAAACAAAGAACCCATTTAAAAGCCATTCTATACAGAAAATACCATTAGTCCCTGTGAAAGCTAGCTGAATATGGATGGATATCCCCAGTACACAACTAAGTTTTTCTTTTAGAGCTACGGTTTTCTCCTGAAGGGGCCAAGATGCATGTTCATTCCACACATCGCGGCATATCCCAGTGAAACCTTAATAAGGTCAAGTGGAGGACCCTCTATAAAAAAGGGTGTCAGCAATTCCATCCCAATAACACAAGCTCTAAGGAGCAGAGGGAATCAAGGGAGACAGCAATCTTTTTCTCTTTTTCCTCCTTCCCAAGTCTAACCAAAAGATGTTCATTCCATTAAATTTTTAAATGAATTTTGGGAAAGCCATCTACGAAGAAATGAAGAAAATCCTTATGACTTCAAAGCTTTTCTGGGGAAGGGTATCTAATCATGTCAAAGACTGATTTCTTTCACTCTCTTTGACAAACCCCACAAGGAAAACTATCCTGTCCACGTGTTCTCATGTTCTCCTTGCTCCTCCTAACTGAATTCAGGTCAGCTGATGGATTGCCTAGTCTATCCAATAGGATAACGTTTCATTTGGTTGAAATTCTTTACATATACACATGTATGTATTCTGTTTACAAAGTTTCATCACATGAAACTGAATTATGTCTTTGTGCATTTTTTGAGGTCTGAGACCCCAACTGGACCATACTACGAGGAGTTGTTCTTTAAATGCTTTGACTGAAGAGGTTTTACATGGTACTCGTAGATCTTCAGAGCAGGCCCCAGTTTTAACTGAAGTCCTGTCAACACATCATTTCTTGTCATCAATAGCAGGGATTTTCCATCAATTTCCTATAATGGAAGCAGAGGGTAAAGCCAACATGTAAGTACAAAGCCTCAAGAATAAAAAAGAAGGAAGTTCAAAGGAAAAAAGTCACACTGATTATCTCCAAGCTAAAATCATTACTTTTCCACTTAGCCAAAATGAAAACTTCTATTTTTATCTTGCATCTTCTACTTTTATTCTCAGATTAAATACATTTCATAGTTGCTCTTTTTTTTAAGATCACACCACAAATGTCTTAAAAAACTGACAGCAAGTTTGGAGTATGTACCCTTAAGTATACATACCCAAAGATATTGCTTCCAAAAAGAATGACACTTCCCATTTATAAAATATCAATAATTTGTGCAGAACTTTGTGTGCTTAGTTCCTAAAATAACTCTATAAATTAGGACAGGCAGGGATTATCATCTTAATTTACAGGCAAACCAGGAACTAGGCAAGAAGGGAGCCATCAAGAATGAAGATCAAGAAGTCAGGAAAGGATGGGACAGGGTTTGAACTCTCGTCTGCCCACAACCAAAGCCTATGATCTCTTCCTAAGTCCCTCTGTCTCTCTTGGCATGTGCAGAAGTACACGTGTGTTGTTTAGATGGACTAATGGGGACTAGAGTCTTAGTTTTCTGGAATCTTGTCACTCACATCAATGAACATTAGGAAAATGACTCACTCACTCTGAACTTTCTTCCTGCCCTTTGAAAGGAGAATCACCTGCCTCTATCTGAAAACCACCCTCTCTGTTGAAGGCCCTGCCCCGCTTCCTCTTAATGGAGCTTTGACATTCCAAATAAGGTAGTGAGGGGCAGGGCTCTGCCCACTGCAATTCTCTCCCCTTTTCTCAAGAGTCCACTCCCTACACCCTTCAGGTACCCAACCAGGCATCCTTCACTCCAACTAACCTGAGAACTACAAACCTTTTGGGCAAAATAAAACAGACTTCTCATGAAAGATACAAGGACCCTGAGTACAGAAAGTGGTTTGAAACTTCTGGAAAGCAAGCACTGAGAATGCTTCCACTTTATTTTTGTAACCACTTACTGCAGAGAGAAGCTGAGTTAGTCCTTAGGGAACATGGGTTCGAGAGATGGGCCAGTTGTGTATGCTTGGTAAACCTCAACATATCTGTTTCATCATTCTGCACACATACATGCATACCCACTCTCCCACCGAGGGAGAGAAAGGGGACCCAATGTGCAACTGTAGCTACATAAAACTGTGTCTCCCTCCTGTACCATGACCAAGGGGGCCATTCCTCCAAACTCTCTCAAGTACTTGCCAGACTGTGAAGAAAATGTGCATAGAACATCTCTGTGTGGGGGAGAAATAGCTGGGCTAAGGGGCTGAAGAAACACCCACTTTGTGACCTTAGGCAAGTTCCCTTCCTCCTCTCTCTCCTCCGTGGGTAATAGGGGGTAAGGGGATTTTGACAGGATCCCATGAGGTAACACCCTTGCAAATGCTCCCTGTCCCTGAGCAGCAAGTTATACAATCACTTGTCGTTATTCCTTGACAGGATCATGGTCCTCATTTCCCTTGTCAACACCTAATAGGAACCAGAGCAGAAGGACAAGGAATTACTTCTAACTGGTCTGTGGTATTTTTGAATGTTGGAAACCTTTATTTTGTCATCTACTAAAAACCAAAATATCTCTCATTAATATGTAGGAGACAACTATTCAAAACCATAGTGCATTAAAAAAGCAGTTGGTTAAACAGGGTAAGAGGGGAAAATTAAGGACATAGGGACTGAATTTCCAACCCTAAAGTTTTTTTTTTCTAGTTCAGCGGCTAGTAATCCCAAAGAGGGCCCATCAGTACAACCTGCAAGTCTGAGAGTTGGCAGAAGGGCTTCTGACACCTGGAAGTCACAGTGGCTATTCTGAAGGCACTGTGAGGTGACAGGAACCTGAATCACAAGCACCTTCAAAGCTCATGCTCTAGCTTACATGCTGAGATGAACTCTGACTCACTTGAAATGCTTAAAAAAGTGGCAAAGCCTTTTCCTCTCTCCATCTTTCCTTTGCTGGTATTTGCTCCTACTTACTACATATTTTAAACAGGCATCAGGAAGAGATGTCACTGCCTGCATTTCTATACAACAAGAAAACTTCCTTGATTAACTGAAAGTGAATTTTTAAACATCTTTGCTAGCGAAAAGTCCTCTACAACTCAGCATTTCTCTCAGAAGCCAAGTATGTCTACAAAAAATGCTGAAATTTGGATTTTATTTAAGACAAAATGAAAAATCATGTTCCAGGCTCCAATTAGATTTTCCCTTTCTTCTTGCGGTTCACCTCAGACTAGGGATTGTAAAAGGAAGCTCTGTTTGGAAATTGTCACTATAAAAACCCCTCATATGAGGACATACTGATGAAAGAGAAAGTCAGAGAGAGATACAGAGAGTCAGAGACATCACTCAGTTGCCCCCCACACACGTCCCAACTAGGAATCGAACCCACAAAGTGTGGATATAGGGATGATGCTCCAACTAACTGAGCCATCAGTCCAGGGTTGGAACTCCTTATTTAAAAAATTTGAAATGCATAGTGCTCATACGTACAACAAAACTTTCCTATTACATCGTGACTGGTAGTTCAGGCAAACAGGAGCATATTGGAAACTAAGCTTCCAGGTCAAGCAAATCACAGGCTGACCCTTGTTCTCCACAACTTGTTGTGTGACCCCTGGTAAGAGATTTAACTTCCTTGAGCCCCAGTTTCATCACTTGTAAAATGGAGATAAACCCATGAGGGATTCCGGAGATTCAATGTGACGCTGTCATGTAAGACAACTAGCATAGTGCCGGATGTATAGGAGGTTCTCCATGACTACTGAGTGGAAATGTATGGCCTTTGAAAGAAACGAGTTATGTATGTTCTCATTTCAAATCCTCCTTCTGTTTCCATTCTGGAGCAGTGCTCTGTACCTGAACGCTGCCCTCTGCCAGAGTGATGCAGGAATATTCCTGTTCAAGTTCAAAACATCTATTAAAATGTTAAAAAATTGAAAAACTACATAAAAATCACAAACACAGGAGTGTTCCTTGAATTAAGAAAGCTCCTCATTTGTTACATAATTTGTATAAAAGTCTGTGATGCAAATGAAACCCGAATTGTGCCAGTCAGCATGGTGAATGTACTAGACTGAGCCTAAGACTGGAAACTGATAGAGTGCTAATGCAGACTCTGTCAGTAACTTCCCACAAGGAACCTGGCCTATGAACCCCATTCAAATGAATGGGTTGGAGCATGACCACATCCAGTTAAACAAATAAAAAATCTCATGACTGCATGAATATCATGATTAAAGCCAAAACAAAAAGATAATTCACATCTTGGCATCCAATTTATATATCTGCATTAGGGAATAATCATTTGCTGGTTTTCACTGAAACTTTTTACATTGCTTATATCTTCTGTCTTCATGTAAAAGTAACCAAGCACCTGTTGGGCAAAAATATTCAAAATGTTTGCATACTTAATAAGTTCCAGCAAGTACTCCTGCATGGAAGTAAGATTCAGAGATGACAGGTGTAACTTTCCAGTGAGGGCAAGACCCTAAATCTAAAGATAAATGAGAGGGATCTATAGATGTAAGACACTACTTTACTGCTTATTAGATGGGGCCTGGAGCAAGATACTTAATCAAAGTCTCATTTCGTTATCTATATGATGGGGAAAGTAGTTACTATATTTCACTATGGAAGTATTACTGAGATAACATATGTGAAGTTGAATTCCTGACATCAGCTGAGTGCTCAATAAATGCTAGCTATTTAAAAAAGGTATATAAAAGTTCTTAACCCATTTACTTTTCACTCTCTCTGCTAACGATCTATATGTAGATAACTCTTTCAACCGATCTAATTGTGCTATAGTTCACTGGAAACATATAGGAAGAAAGAAGATGAGGTGGGGAGAAAAGAAACTAAGAGGAAGGCTAGAAAGAGAAAGAGTGACCACGGAGAGAGAGCGAACTGCAGGGTAGCGGGGTGGGGCAGAGTAAGCATCGAGAAGTCAGCGCTTACGGCAGCACTGACTCAGGAGGCTGTGTCTGTGGTGGCGGTCTCAGCATCCCGACATAGCACAGGGAAAAGAAGGGTCAATTTAGAATCAGAAGACCCGGTCCTAAGGGCCAAACTCTGCTGCTTTCCAGTTCCTTGTAAAACATATGGAGCACTACTCTCTTTCTCTGTAAAAGGAGATGTTTGGACTAAGCTCACCTCTGTCCGTTCCAGTTCAACACACTCTCAGATTTTGATTCTGTCTCTGGTGAGCATCAGACTCACCGGCCTCTCAGGAAAGTCTGCCTGTGAAAGAGTTCACAGCAGCTCCTTACCAGTGACGTAGAGGAATCTGACGGAATAGGCTTTCTTCTTCCACTTCAGTCTTCTATTTCACATTTTCTACAACTTTCTTTGTAACAACTCTCTTGCCATTCACTATCTGGCTACAAGTGGTGACCAGTCTGAAATTTCCCATCCCACTGCTTACATAGGGGACAAATGTCCTAGAGGAAGAAGAACTTGGTCTGGAGCCCGGGGATACAAAAGTAGAAAATCCTGTGTCCAAAATGGGGGTCACGTCAAAGAAGGAGGAGCGGGATCTGGTTCTACCCATGTAGCCGGTGGGAAAAAAATCTCCCAAGAAGAGGTCCTCATCTTCAAAGACATTTTGAAAACCACAGTGTGGCCTCTCAAACCACAGTTCCTTCTTCAAATAGTTTTTGTCTCCACCGTCTCCTCTGTTTTCCCTTTTGATGTGGTTCCCTCTGGACTTGTCATAGTTGTTGCGTTTCTTGGGATCCGACAAGACAGCATAGGCTTCAGCTACTTGTTTGAATTCCTCCTCAGCTGCCTCCTTGTTTTCCGGGTTCTTGTCTGGGTGCACCTGAAGAGCTAACTGATGATAAGCCTTCTTAATATCACAAGAGGAAGCATTTGGAGGCACCCCGAGAACTTTGTAATAATTCACCATGTTTCTTTAAAGGATCTTTCCTCACCAAGACA